AAATGAACAAAGATGCATTCCATAATAATAAAATAAATATTATTTGATTAGATTAAGTCGCACACAGGCGCTGTACTCAGAAAAAACCCCAAAACTGTGTAAACTACTGAAAACACCCATTATGTTTTTGACCTTCTGTGCGTTTCTAGATTATTAAGCTTTATTTAGTAGGGTTATTATTATGCAGAGTAGTGACTTTGAATCTAATAAATACCAGTAAAGCACGTTGTTAACGATAATACTATTCTCTGTGAACTGCCATATAAAACCAATCTAAATCATATTCGTAATAATTCGAAGCATTTACCTGTATCAAATCATCAGATATGATGCATCTTGTGATTAATCATGAATCATCTTGTCGTATAATAAAGAGAGAACAAAAAATGAAAACATTCTGCTCATTTAATTATTATTATTCAGTTGTATTTCAATGCACACTTAAAGTAACGTCATATGATTTATTTCTTCAGTTTCTTTCTTTCTATTTCCATTACCGATATACCACAAAAAATATGTAAGCAATCCAGCTTAAAGTTTTTACAATGCATTGTTATATCACCAGTAGTTCTCTGTTAAAAAAAAAGGAAAAAGAAAAAATGCTATTCCCTAAGTTTCCAAAACATCGTTACTGCAAACGGCTGGCGGTGGCGTGCCGTGTGCGGTTTTCGTGTCGCGCTCGATTAGCGACGAAAATCCGTCGCGTGATCCGAGACGACAAAGAGATGACCGCTAAGTGACCACTCGGCAGACGACACACACATATATAAGTCGCATTAATAACGCGGCTAAAAGCTCCCCTCCCCTAGTTGGGTGAAACAGAGTTATCGGCTATTTTGCCGTGAGGTGTTGAAATTGCCTGTCCTCTTTCACCATTTGAAACATTTGCCTTAAGGAACATGCAAATCACTTTCCTTTCACAAATTTGAACGTAATAAACATGAACTTCGTTTAAAAGACCAGACCTAACTAATTAGAATATATAATTTTAAACTACACTCTCGTGAGTAAAAATTAATGTTAACGGTTTGATATTTATTCAGTAAAAGAGTAATAACTTTGTCGTTGAGTTGTAATTTACTTGATCATTATACAGTGACAAAATAATAAATGCATTGTTATATGTGTAATCATTAGCTAAATAATTGCTTGACGCATTTATAGTTAGTTCTATTTATTTTATCTTTTAATACTTGTTTGAATAATGTCCATAACCTAAATTTAAATCATTGATCAAATTATTCATGCCACTCAGGATTTTAGCTTCCTTATGCGAAATAAAAGAAGTATTTGTAATCGCGAAAAATGTCGGTTATCATATTTCAAAGAAAATATCCATTTTGACCGTTCTCGAATCCATATAAACGATGATTTAGAGCAACATTTGTATGTACGGACAGAATAAAGAACTCCTTTTCCGGAAACGTTTTGTAAAATGTATTTAAAATGGATTTAGAAGAAAGTTTTTTCCGTAACTTCTGTGCGTACGTACGTATCACCCAACACTCAAAAACGAGTAGCCGTAGAACGTTGAAATTTGGTATATGAGACTGCTATATTTCAATTTTTCTTTGCAATGGGCCGCACCAAACGTATATAAATATATATATGATGAAAACGACGTGAGATGTTGATGGCGTAGAACGTAGATCCATAATGAAAAGAAAACTTGTGTGTCGAGTAAGATTAAATATTCAACTTTATTTCAATAAACTTTTGCAGTCACGATTTACTTGGCCCACTAATCGTGCGTCGTCAAGAACATTGACATTGTTCCGAATTAGCTACGTCATCAATGTTACGTAAGCCATGTGACATATATTGATAAAAATTGAGGCATTCCAGGAAAAGGTGTTACAATTTTTAGAATACGGAGGAGAAACATCCAAATTAAAAATGAGGAATGAAGAGGCTATTGATAAATTAAATTATAAAGCCGATTATAATTTAATTTATCAATATTAAATTATGAAGCATATTTTTTATCTTACATATATATGTTACCAATCTGTTACCCGGCTCTGTTTGCTCAGTTTTTGTTTCTTATACGTTGGTAAATTGGCCATTTTTTTGCTTTAAATGTGATTGAATTATGTTATTCTTAGGCTTTGGTTAAGATTTTTATGTCTTTAGTTAATCTGCTTGCAATCGTTGTAGAATTATCCAAACTTTAAAAGTGCCGCTAAGCCTAACCAGGCTGCCATTTGTTTACATTTGAAACTCTTAGTAGAATAGTGAATTCAGTTGTTGCACCAACTTTAGTGTCTTTTTACACGCTGTGACCAAAAGTTATATTTTCAATTTTATGCACCGAAGATTTCGTCTTTCTGTCCGCTGGCTGATTTGCTTGCTTTTGCGTAAAAATTCTAATTTTATTTCTCAAAACTGTTTTTTCAACTGTATTTGGTATATTAGGTTTTTCTCTGTTTTACAATTCTAATGAAGATTGAGTTTTTATACATTTTTACGTTGCCGGGAAGTGAGAACTGAATTGATTGAACCAGAAATATATCTCTATCGAAATTCGATGAAATAAGTTTAAATAAAGTTCATAAAAAATGTGTAAATAATTTAACAGACCTTAAAAGGAAGTCATGTGTGTCCACATCACACATTTATCATATAATATTTAATAGCACATTTCACGTTTTAGAGTGGCGTGTTTATATTAATTACTGGAAAATTGTTGTTTCTGCTCGTTAATGCGTCTACGAAATTTCATTTTGAGATTTCGTAGTAAATATACATAATGCAGATTACTTTAATTAAATATAAACTAGTTCGATGTTTCGTGCGTGGATTTAGCTCTCTAGTGTGCCAGCAGGTAGATCCGTGCTATAGGAGAAAGGATTTCCATGAAATCTGGGATGAAGCTCAACGGTGGCGGAGTTCAACAGGTTGCCGAGATCATGAAGCGTTTTATTTCAGACCCGGAGATACGAAAAATGCGTAATGCTCTCGCTGGGGTTCGAAACCACGTCCTTCCAATTACTATTGCAATTGCTTCCCAACTGCACTACAAAGGTACTCAATAAGAAAGAAGAAAATACCCAGCATTCTGTCCCACTTAAAGAACGACTAGGAAAGAGAAAGTCAACTCGCTAACCGTACTGAAATCCCGGCTGATCAGGAGCCCCCCCCCCCCCTCTGCGCTATCGCTGTGTATATGTAAAAGCGAACACTGATAGTTCAGTCCGAGTCCAAATATTGTCGGTCGGACTAGCTACATGGGAGTATTCGTAGTTCTTCCCACACACCAATTTCCTTTGAAAAGTTTTCCAAAATGGTATTTCTTTCCTCAGACAGACAGCTCTATTTTACCATAATCTAAACACACCATGAGTGTATTTAATAATATAATTACTGTATAACTGAGTGCAGGCGATAGTACGAGTGCTTTATAATACTATCAGCGTTTAATAATATTAGAGCTAATTAAAGCTGTATTATTTCCGGGTAATTTTTCCCAGCTGAAATCATTGCAATGAAATTTTAATTGTAGTTCTGAAGGCGTGAAATTTTAGAAATAAATTTTTCTGCTTAAATTTTATATTCCCTTCCTCTTTTAAGAAAAGACGTTTTATTGATACAGGCGTCTGTTTGGCGAAAATCTAAAGTTTTAACCTAAAATACATAGACTGTCAAACTCTATTAAAAACATTACCGGTAACTATACGATTATCCTCAAATTTAAGGAGAAATATCTGCAATATTAGATAAAACTTAAAGAAACATTATGTAGCTTCAGGTTTCCTTTCTTCTTCTGAAACGCCTTCTCTGAATTGTTTTAGTGTAAGTGAAACATAAAGAGTTTGTATTTAAAGCAATATAGTTTCCTATTAAATTTGTCGCTTATGAAATTTAGTTTTTTGACTTGCAGCTTTAAATTTGATTCTAATTCAAATTTAAAATATGTGATATTTGTCTCAAAATCAAATAAATGTTGTTCAGTACCAGTTTAAACTCTTTATCGTCTCAAGTTTTATTCTCTGAGTTACACACAATATAAGTAACTATGCATTATGTAGATAAACTGATTTAGTGATAAGAAGCAAATACTAATGTATGAACATTTAGATGTTTGTTAAACATTCGAGCTATTTGTCCAAAATTTCTAAAACTATTTTGTGCTGCATTTATACTTTTCCACAGGGGATCATGCGAAGAAATTCCAAAATTATTTTATATTTCTTTTAAACAATTAAAAATAATAAACATTTTTATGTTAAATTAATAATTGTTACAGTAAAATAAATTTTACTTCCATTTTGTTATGAGAGAATTCATATAAATTACAGTGATAATCTCAAATTTTAGGATCTCAAATGTGAGATCTGACAAGAAAATTGACTATATCTCATCACATTTGCTTACAGATATTGAAACTTTTAACTTATGAGTTTTGTTCTACTACCTCAATTTTACATTCAAATTACGCTAAAACTATATATCTAGTAGAGCAGTGTTTTATGTTTTCAGAAAAGTCAATTTCAACATGATCCTAGTTACTTTGAACAATATTTTGTTTTAGTTATTTAATTGTTGCTTGTGTGAAAACGCGGCAAAATTATAACACCCAACAAAGTCAAACTTTTAAATTAATTATTTTTATAGGCAGTAATTTGCTGAGTTTCTTCTGTCGAAAGTTTAATTTTAAAAATGCCTTTCGTGACCCCAATATCTTTAGATCTCAATTAAGCACAAATAAAGGCTTATTATAAGATATGTTTACATATCTTGCAGTGTGATAAATGTTATCTTAAAGCCTGGTACTCATTGTATAAAATAAACAAACTAATTTTGGAGAAATCTTATCTTTTCTGGTTAATTAACTTGAACTGTATGGAGAAACCGTAATTTAAGAATTTAATAACTAAGCCTATTATGCAGCAAGCTGTGGGAGCAAATTCTGTTGCCTTTTTCTTTGCGTCCATACCTTATCCTTCTTGCAGTTGATACATCTGTAGAACAATTAGAATTATTCTTCCGCCATTTAAGAGATGACTGGTAGGAGGGAACAAGAACGTCGGACAAATTCAGATGGTGACGAATCATCATCAGCTAGTCCTCGTCGGGATATGAATTCAGTACTCTCTGAATACCAGCCGAAATTGTTACTAGTTAAACCATACTTATACGCACGTGAAGGAAGGCGAAAATTTACTTTCAAACCGTGTCAGCAATGTGATTGTGTTTTATTTGCTTAAGTTCAACTATTGCTACAACACAAAATTGCACAGCTATTCAATTCAGACTATTGTAAATAATGCTACCTATTTTCAGGCATTTATTTCAAGAAGTATTCAAATTATTTTAATGCTAAATATGTAACTGAAGAAACGTTATGCAATGTGATTGCTAAAGGATAACTATCTTTATTTACATTGTTCTATTACCTTCAATAACTCTATATGATACTCACTAAATGATAATTATCTTTAATTCAAATATTATCATATTCTTATATTTTCACAGGTTTCAAAAATGTGTAGCACATGTAAAAAAGAGATATAGTTTGTACTTTTAATGTTGTATATTTCGTTTAGTCATAAAACAATATAAAACAATAATTTTTTACTTATTTGTATCTAGCAGAGTTTCAAAATCTATATTCTCTTTCAGCTTGTAAAATCGGCAAATGGAACAGTATATATGCAGGATACAGATGTAACAACGACGGGGACATACAAATGTGAAGTGTCCGCCGACGCTCCTTCCTTCCAGACAGTCTCTGCGCAGAAATTATTAGTAGTTAAAGGTGAGTCATTCTCACTCTATCGATTGTAATAATTTCTTCAAAAATAATTAACTTCAGTTTTAACCACATCTAAAGCTATTATTGGAAAGCCTTAAATGATTCAGATAATGACCATTTATTATAAAGACACAACTTTTATAATGTATGTTCATTATAAACTAAACGCAAAAATATACCAATCAAAACTTCTCTCTGTCTAAATACATTTTTGAGCCGTCTGCCTTTATATGTGACTAAATGGAATAATAAATGTACGCGCAACCAGTCCCTTCTATGTCATATCGTTGTAAAGAAAATATTTGCAGAATTTTTCACGCTGTTTACGATCAACATGTGTAGTTGTTAGGATATTGTTTGCTTAGTAATCCTGAAAAGCGCTATTTTCGTTCTGTTGCTAGACGCAACAAAGAACACTTATTTGAAAACAAATTTGTATAGAAAGTTAAACCCGAAAAAATCAATGCTAAACAAGCAGTGAAAATATGGATGTGTTCAACTTTTGCTCAACTCTCAATACTAATGTTGCTAGCTTGTTTGTCTTAACTTGACCTCTGAATAAATGCTGTATTGAAAAAGCAGTTGCTTATACGTGTTTAAAATTCTCCGAGTTTATGAACTGCAATTGCTGAACAATTAGTGCACTATCTAACAATTGGAAAACGAATTTATTATAAACGTTAATCTTCCCAATTCTTTTCAAAACTCTTTGCATAGAGACTGGTATAATCCTACAAAACTCTTACGTTCTTTACGAATAAGCATGAATGTAAACAATGCGAAGTAGTAACCGAATCTTTACATAAAGAGTTTTAACGGGATCGATGGAATTTTAGGGGGTCAGTAGTGCTCGAGGGGTGGATAGCCAAATATCCCCGGCAAATTGTAGATTCATTAGGTTATTTTGATGCTGAAGACCTGAAGAATGAGCAATGCCCTCGCCGAGACTCGAACCTGGACCTCTCGAATACGCCCTGGTTATGTTAACGTTACTAATGTTACACCACGAAGGCATTCAGAATGGAGGAAGAAAATACCTTATATACTCCCCCTTATATAAGGCGAATGGTGATTAGGGAACCCAGTCGCCAAATCCTGGTCGTGAACAATCATCATCCACCACCTTGTTTTTAGTTCGGGCGACACTGTAGACTTATTAGGTTATTTTTATACTGAAGACGTGAAAAATGAGCAATATACTCGAAGGACTTGAACCTGGACCTCTCGAATACGCGCCGAGTGTGCTACTGTTACACCACAAAGGCATACAGAGACTAGGGAGAAAGAACCTTCTAAAGTGAAAAGCTATAATCAAAATCCCGTTGATTGCAAAAATCATTTATTAATAATATTGACAATTGATTGTTTGTTGGTATAAAGTTACATAATGTAGTCAGAAAGAAGTCATATAAGATGCATATAAGAGGGAAAATGCAATGAAATTATTTAACAGACTTTATTTAAATCAACATCAATTTTAAACATATATTTTTTACGTAATAAGTGCAATATAAAAAAAGGGAAAAGTCAGAAGCACAAAAAAATACGAACTTGAAGCTGATAAATTTATGGTGACACAAGAGATAAAATAATATACATAAATATATATATTTATTCTACTTGGCTGATATGTATGCATTGTTCGACGCTACACAAAATAAATTGCTATAAAGAGATATCAGTTTTACTGAAGCTATAACAGTTATCATCGGTTTTCGTCCTAAATTTGGTTTTTTTCTGTAGACACAAATGAATTTCATTGCTTTGACCACTTAAAGCAATTGTTCGTTATTGCAAATAGTTTTATTTCCTCAGAAGATATATTGTTACATGCAAGCCACTTGCAAAATTTAGAAGAAGTCTGTAATGTTCGCTTACAGACTGTCTATAATGTCTGACAGTAAGAACATTGAAAACTGGAATGTGCATGTATGGCTCAAAGAATCGATGAATTGCGATACATTTGATATTGATATTATGATGCTAGAAAAGCTTATTGCATTTCAGGAAGACTTACAAGCGCTAATCGCATACAAAACAAATGGACATGCTAAGTTTTGAAATTTAAATTCATCCGAGAAAAATAAGTAAAATTTAAAAAAAAAAAATCTGAAAGCTTTGATATTTTATATTATGCCAAAGGGGCCCCTTTTTTTTTTTTTTTTTTTTTTTTTTTTTTTTTTTTACGTTCTGTGTGTTCCTTTGTTAAATATCATGTTTTTCGTACTTAAACCGTAAAAATTCAATTCAACAGCATTATCACAAAATATTTAAAAGAGCATATTCTTAGAATTTTCGATACACAGTCTCGCGTGCTGGAGATAATTCCGTACAGTGTTGCTATTGCTCACTTTGAAATCGCTGAGATTCTTAATCAAAAACTCATAAATTCTTTACAAAATATAAAATAGATAATGAAACAAATTGCAAAATGTCTGCTTCCAGGTGCCCATATTTGAGTGTAGACGTCCGTTATTCAAAATTTTATGGTTCTAAGTACTGTTCTGTTATCACAATGCGAGAAACATACATACATTTGTGCAGATTCTTCATTTTTAAATTTCTTTAAATATAATAGAGAGCTCTAATATTTGATGACAACAATTTAAAAAGTGATTCGCCGTTTACAGTGAGTCAATGCAAAATGCCAAAACGAAAATAATAACCGTTCGGGGCTAACGCCCTTTGGCTCACAAATTTTGATCGAGCCGGCGTTATTGACTTATTCTTACCTATTATGATTACTTTGCAAAGAAAAATAAGACACAAGTTGAATAGATTTGAAAGAATTGATTTCAGTTTTAAGAAATGTTATGGCAAATATTACAAAAAATTGCATCCATACATCTACCACAGCCATTTCAATAATTAAAATCGAACTTCTGTTACATCAGACTCTGTGATTTTGCTTATGAAAACTTATTTACATTTACAGAATAAAAAATTCGATAATACAAAAAATAATAAAACATAAATCTAATAAAACATAAATTGAATAAACCATTTTCTTTAAAACCTTTGTTCTTAGTCTAATTGTTATCTTTAAGTTATCGATGAGCGGTTATCTATATTATGTTTATGTGGCATGTATTCATGTATTATAAAAAAGCATATACTGCGGTAGATGAAGAAAACCACTCTTTTAAAAAAGTTCCATGAAAGAAAAAGTTTGGGAACACCTGATCTAGATACATTATTTTGCGGACCGAAAGTCTCATTTTACTACTTCCACATAATGTGCAGAAAGAACGTGTAGTGACTCTACTTTCGCATTTATTATTCAACTTATTCACTGTTGACTTTCATTTGCTCTAGAAAACACTGCAGGTTTAATGTTTGAAATTGAATAATAGTAATTTCCATTAAAATCAATTTTACTCTTTTGCGCTCAGCCTTTCATTTTCATTTCGTATACCTTTCCATCTTTACATCTAAATATGGAAAATTAATTACTGTTATTTTCATTAATTTTTCTTCTGAAAACAATGAAAACCTCTTTCCATTTTTTTTTTTTTTTTTTCCCATTTTTCTGATGGTTCCCTTTTATTGTTCTTGTTGTTGTTCTGACTTAACCTCATTTGTCTGACAGTAACAACAGAACAACCTCACGGAATTCATCGTGGCAAGGAGTGAAAGTCTGCGCCTGTAATTAGCAACAGCCTTGAGCACCATACCAGTTGACAATACAGCTTTACTCAGTTCTGCCCCCAGTTTTGAAGGAACGCACCCAAGGCAAACGGGTTCGGGTCCTCCCACCCTTCTTCCCTACCACCAGCTACTCGAGAGGACTTTCGGCTCTCCTCATATTTAGAGTGTCTCTCCCATTCCGCAAATACACTACACATTTACAAACATCCATGCTTTCTTCGGAATTGGAACCCTGGCCCTTCGGTACGGCAGTCAGCGTCGCTAACCACCATCCTGGTTGGGCGGCTGGTTCCCTTTTAAATATGTTAACGCAGTTCATTTAAGTATTTCAGGCAACAGCTTTCAGCAGTTTCTGATTGTTTAATTTCCCTAGCAAATACATCTACTTAAGATGAAAATGAAAAAAAAAAAGGTATTAGGTAATTCTCACTTATGCTGTTATTATCACCAAAAGAAAGATGTTGAATCCATGACCAAGAATTCTTAGGTTTGTAAGTTTGGGTTGAGATGAATAATTTTGAAATTAGAATCGATATCGATGATGTCAAACTAACTTAATTTCAAGTAATGTTTTATGTTCATTTAGTGTTAAAGCACTAAACATGAGTTTTTTTAACAAATTTAACATGAGTAAAACTAAATTTTGTTTGGATTGAGCGCTAAACATGATCGTGTTTGTTCAATAACTATATTTAGCCAAAGGAATTTGAAACTGTTACATTATTGTTATGAAATTTTCAAAAATCCTACAAAAAATTTTCAGTTAAAACAGTATTTATAAGCTGAATTTAAATTCCATATACGTATATTTTCGTAAGTACTCTAGGTCAAGTTCGAGAAATAGCATTTAAGAATTTGGCTGCTGAAACTTTGTTGATACAGCCCAGCTTTGTTGATCAGCCAGCCACCGTAGGATTTTTAAGATAGCAAACTAACATAAAATTTAAAATGTATTCTGAAATATTATAAACTATGGCTTTGAATCTGTTTTTAATAGAAACCTCCGATGATATACTCCGTTTTAGCTCTGGTAAACACAATGATATCTGTCTTTTTATAATTTCTGACTGAAATATTACTCTATTCTTTCTCATTAATTTTAGAGTTTGATCTCACAAATTCACCCTTCAAGAACTGTTAATTGGGGAAAAGATTAAATTACCAAATATTTGCAATTATTTACCTAAAAGGCTTGCCAATGAGATTGGAAATAAAGAAAATGAATAAATTCTTGTAAGGATAAACAACCTAATCACAAACTAAACTGACCAAATTGCCATTTAGAAATAAGAAATTTCATATATTGCTGAATTTTGACTTAATATTCCTAGAATGTAACATAAGATATTACAGTC